CCCATCCACATCCAACCTAAATGATACTTTCTATTTGCTTATGCTATTCTACGATCTATTCCTAATAAATTAGGAGAAGTTCTAGCTTTTGTTCTTTCTATTATAATTCTGTATACATTACCAATAAATAAATTTAATATAAATACCAAAAATTGTTACCCCATTAATCAATTAATATTTTGAATGTTAATTAATTCATTTATTATATTAACATGAGTGGGTGCGCAATCAATTAAAAATCCATTTATTATTATTAGTCAAATTACAGCTATATAATATATTTTCTAACAATAATAATTTTCCTCAATTAGCAATATATGAGATAAATATATTATTAAATATTAAAAAAGTTAATGAACTTGAATAAGTTTATGTCTTGAAAACATAAAAAAGAAATTTTAATTTTCTATTAACTTATTTATAAAACTCCACTATTAAAATTAAATTATAATTATAAAAAAGACGTTTACACCAACAACAGTTATTAAATAAATCAAAACTAATAGTAAAATAATTTTCCAACATAAGTATATCAATTCATCGTATCGTATTCGAGGTAATAATCCTCGAACAATTACAATTAATGAGCTAATTAAACATTATAATTAATATTGTATTTCTTGATAATAAAGATCTAAATATGAGAGTAAATACAACCCTCATAAAAATAATTATACCATATTCTACTACAAAATTAAAGTAAATCCAGAACTAAAATATTCAATATTAAATCTTAACACTAATTCTGATTCCTCTTTAATAAAATCTATAGACCTGCGATTTAATTCAGCTAAAATTCTGATAAAAAAACTAAAGCCATAGGTGAAATTATAATTATATTTCAACATCAATATTGTCATATTAATACATTAATAAAAGTAAATCCTTCTCCCGATACCATAACCACCAATATAATTAAGATAAATCTAACTTCGTAAGAAATTATTTGTGAAATTGAAAGTAATGTACCTATTATAGAATAAGTTGAATTTGATGATCAACCCAAAACTAAAATAATATATCTACCTAAACTTATAAATACAACTATTAATAAAATTGAATAATTTAAATAATAAATATTAGTATAAATTGATATTATCATTCACAAAATTAATATTATAAACATCAATAATAAAGGGGACTAATATAATATAAATAATACTCAGACTTAATAACTATAAATATCTCCTTACTTAAAAGTTTTAAGCCATCACTAAAAGGTTGTAAAAATCCTCTAAATCCTACTTTATTAGGACCTTTACGAATTTGAATATGACCTAAAATTTTCCGCTCAAGAAGTGTAAAAAATGCAATAGATAAAAGTACATAAATAATTATTTAAAAAATCAATATTAAATTACAAAAAAATAATGAATATAAAAAATTATTATTTATATATAATATAGTATATATTATTAAATTCTAAATTTAATGCACTCTTTCTGCCAAAATAATTAATTTATAATAAATAAATTTAAATAATTAACTCTTTTCGTACAAGAATTAATTTCTTTTACCAAAGATAGACACCGATCTGGCTCACGCCGATCTAAACTCAAATCATGTAAGATATAATAAGTCGAACAGACTTTTAAACTATAATTCTTCTTATAATGTAAATCTTAATTCAACATCGAGGTCGCAATCTCTCTTATTAATATGAACTAACCAAGAGTATTACGCTGTTATCCCTAAGGTAATTGATATTTACTTAATAATAATCTTAATATTCATTAATTAATGTAATAACACTTTAAAGTTTAATTAATTTAAAGGTTTTCCCAACCAAATAAATTTTAAATTTCTAAAAAAATTTTACTCTTGAAAAATAAAATTTATAAAATTCTATAGGGTCTTCTCGTCCCATATCTAAATTTCAACATTTTTACTAAAAATTTAATTTATAAAAAAATACTTAAATAAAGCATAAGTTTTATCAACTCCTTTACTCTAGCCCCCAATCAAAAGTTAGATTACTGCGGCCATTTATTTAATTCATTGAGCAGAGCTATCCTTAAATTATTATTTAATCAAAAGGATATGTCTTTGATAAACATATGAACTTATTAGTTTGCTTGATTCATATAAATAAAATTTAAATAAATTTTATATTATACTTAAAGTTCTTATTAGGTGCGCAACTAAGTTCTCGCTGTTTTTTTTGAAAATGCAACTTTATTGTGGAAAAATGGTTACAAATGAATCATTCAAAGTATTGCCCATCGGTAGCTACAACTTTTTCCCATCTTTCTGGCACAGCTCGAATACCGTTACGGTAAAAGTGTTCGTCTATTGAGGCTATCCACGAATCAAGCCATTTTTTGATGTCTTCATATGAGTGGAACTGCTGATCAGCCAGACCATGTGCCATCGAACGGAACAAGTAATAATCGGACGACGCAATATCTGGAGAATATGGCGGATGGGGTAGGACTTCCCATTTGAGCGTTTCCACGTANGTTTTAACGGGTTTGGCAACATGAGACCGAGCGTTGTCATGCAGTAGAATCACTTTTTCGTGCCTCTGCTCGTATTGTGGCCGTTTTTCGCGCAGTGCTCGGCTCAGTCGCATCAGTTGAATTCGATACCGTTCCCCAGTGATGGTTTCGTTCGGTTTCAAATCATAATAAATAACACCGACCTGGTCCCACCAAATACACAGCTTAACCTTCGCAGCGTGAATATTCGGCCGAGCCGACGACGTAGAAGCATGACCGGGCAGTCCCCATGATTTTTTTTTCTTTGGGTTGCTATAAGGAATCCATTTTTCATCACCCGTCACGATGCGATAAAGAAAACCCTTCCTTTTTTGCCGCTGGAGCAGTTGTTCACAGGCAAAAAAACGACGCTCAACGTCCCTTGGCTTCAAATCATAAGGAACCCAAGTTCCTTGCTTTTGAATCATTCCCAACGCATGCAATCGCTTGGAAATGGCTTGG